ATACACTGACCGCGCCTTCTTTCCCTCCGTCTCCATGGTGACTCGCTTAATCTGTGCTCCACTAATCAGGGCTTTATGTATCCTCGTCCGCGCGCTTAACTTGGGGTTAAAGCAACTCCGCGTTGACTGAACTACTTGTTATCAGCCTTTCTGAAACCGAATATTCCGAGTTGGACAGTTCGGGGTTACTCAACCCTGAGTATCGTTTTTCACTCTGAGTTTTCTAAACTGGCTTCCTGAAATAGGGCCCAGGTCATCATCAAGGGTGGACCTGAACATTGCTGGATTCACCTTCCCTTGACCATAACTAGTGTCCCACTGCTGAAAAACATCCCCCAGCTTGATGCTGCCACCACCATGCTTCAGTTTAGGGATGGTATTGGCCAGCTGGTGAGCGGTGTCTGGTTTCCTCCAGATGTGATACTTTCCATTCAGACCAAAGTGCTCAAGCTGGGTTTTATCAGACCAGAAAATTGTTTCTCATCCTCTGAGAGTCCTTCAGGTGTCTTTTAGCAAACTCCAGGTCATGTCATGAGCCTTTTATTGAGGAATGGCTTCAACTTGGCCACTCTGCTATACACCCCTGATTGTTGGAGAGCTGCAGAAGTGGTTGTCCTGCTGGGAGGTTTTCTTCTCTCCACAGTAATGCTGGAGCTCTGCCAGAGTAAGCATCAGGTTATTGGTCACCTGCCTGACCAAGGCCTTTTTACTTTGATTGCCCAGACTGGCCAGCCAGCTGTAGGAAGACTTCTGGCGGTTCCACAGTTCTTCTGTTTTCAGATGATGGAGGCCACTGTGCTCATTACTATCCTCAATGATAAAGACAGGTGTGCGTCTTTCCAAATCATAGCCAGTCGACTGAATTTACCACAGGTGGGCCCCAATCAAGTTGCAGAAACATCTGACAGATGATCACTGGAAACAGGAGGTAGCTGAGCTCGATTTGTATGCGTCATGGAAAAGGCTGTGAATACATGTACTTGTTATATTTTTGTTTTACATTTTTGATAAATTTGCAAGAATTTCAAGCAGAGTTTATTCACTTTGTCATTATGGGGTGAATACTTTTTGGATGCTCTGTTAAATTTCGCCCCTGTTCCTGTCCATTCTCTTGTCCGCTGGTGTTGGACATTGTAAGGTTCTTGTCTAATAGCACTGATGAAGGGCGGTTCAATGCTCTGCCCCTCCCAGTATCAATACAGGTCATTGTCATCCTAAATCTCACGTCCTCACTTCTCCTGTCATCCTCGTCTCCACCCCTCCCATCTATTCCCAAAACATACAGGATGTGGAGAGCTACCCATGTCTGGCACCTCTCCCCATAGCTATAACAGGCTATTAGCAATGAGTTGAGATGGACACTTACGCTGCCTGCTCCATGATTTATTCACACAAACTGCCATTCACTCAGAATCACTCACCCTAAATGACCTTTTCCTTGTGTCCTTTCTCCAATCAGTTGTACTAAATCTTCCCTTTTATTATCCTCATGGTGCAGCTGACACTTAAAAAGTAGGCTATGTTCCTCATGTGAGGGTTAATATGTGCTGCTGAAACGACACATTTAATGACCAATTTGACATATAATGTTATTTCTGCTCTGTTCTTCAGTGAGAAATTTTACTATTTCATAGGAAATTAGAATAGAGCCATTTGAGCAAACCTCTTAGTTAGAAACTCTAAGACTATCAGCAGTATTGGCTTTGTAAAGAGAAACAAAAACAGCCCTCAAATTCTACACACAAAGGAGGACAGTGAGTTGGCAGGTTGCTCCAAAGCCTCAGGGTCTTTATAGAGAAAGCTTCAGTGCCCGTAGGAAAAAGGCGATGAAAGCAACACAAACGCGGTTATATCTGAAAAACACTTGGCTTTAGTGTGACTGTTTAGCCTTTCTGCATGGTGCTTTTCTTAAGCATCCTGCTACTTAACAGTTATCACTTCGTGGTTTAGACTAGGTGGTGGGTGGGGGGATTATGTCTGCCCATCTGTTGGGCCTCCTCATCCACTGGTCTGACTGGGTGACTGGAAAGTGGGTTGCAAGGGATGGGAGGGTGAGGCGAGTGCTCTTATGTAATGATGTTAAAGCTTTCGAACCCTGACAGATGTGCTTTCTATCACCGTCTCACTCTCTCTCTCAACCCTTTTTCGTCTGTGTCTGTCCAGAAGTACCCGGTGTAATCTGCCTCAGTGCTTGTTGAAATGATTTGGCATAAATCTTCAGCAATCAGCTGCAATCTGCAATCTGAAAGCATCGCCTCAAGATGGCGTGTTCGAGCAGATTGGAAGAGCTGAAGCACAAAAATGCTGCAGGAGTGTCTGATCTGCAGCAGTCGTCTGTAGAAGAGCCACTCCTCTGTCACTTACTGTGTAATCTCAGTAAGTGACAGGAGCAACGTGTGGAAGGAAAATGAGTTTTTATTCTCACTATTACAGCAGTAGAAGGGTTTTTTGGGGTGGAGGGTTAAAAACAACAAACAAAAAAAACAAAACAACTTGTTGTAACGGTCTTTTTCTCTCTGTCTCGTCACGGTTCGTCAGAATAGGATCAGGTGGCATTAAAAGACCCGGCCGACTGAACTCTTGGCACCAATAACAAGCTGCCTTTTCTTTCTCTCTGTCTCTCTCACTGTCTTTCTTTTATTCCTGCTTCCTCTACTCTCCCTTTTCCCTTCTCCCCTGCTGTGTTTGGGTCGCTGGGGTAACCCTGGCCTGTTTCTCGCTCGGTTAGCCTACCCTGCTATTAGAGGTCTGGATGGATGGGGAGAACAGGAAGAGGCGGGGGTAAGGGAAAGATGGTGTGCGCTCTGTCTCGGTCTCCCAAGCCAAAACTCCGATTTGGGGACACAAAGGGGAAAATTGGGAAGGACACGGAGAATCTGAACGGACTGGAAACAAACACCCAGGCTGTGCTGTTCAGTCTCGAATGCTGTCAATTCTGTGTTTTAGATCGCTGCTCGTTTTCATCAACGGCAAATGATTTTCACTGCAATGAAAGTGCTACACAGATACCGTATCAGTGTAAGGGTGGTAAAGGGAAAGTAGTGACACTGTCCCTGTATTGGATTGAAAGAGTGCATTTGATGCAGAATTTACTTAGATGGCACTTAAACATGACTAATTGACCAGATAAACACGTTCTTACTGAAACTGGTTTCTAACTTTGTGTGTATGTACAGTCAGTGCGAGCTGTGGCCACAGTGAG